TCAAGACTCTCTATGTGTTTGTAGTGACTTTTTCAGAATATTCAGCCTAACATCATGTTGAATGTGTGAGTCACATGCTACTCTTCCAATTCTGATATTCTGATACTATTTTTGGCAACTTTAGTAAAGTATTGCTTACATGTTCCAGCTGGATTCGTCAAAGTCCAGGCTTTGTCTCTGCTATGCTGTGCAGAAATAAGAAAAGTCATGTGAATCTCCCATCAGAGTTTTAATGGTGGAAATGGTGCTTTAGAGGGCAATATGTGATGGCTGTAGTGATTACTGTGATTTCCCAGGGAAAGATCATCCTTCAAGCTAGAGTCAGGCCTTGGATATCTACTTACCCCTTCCAAGTAGAAACTGTCCCTACTTTGGGGCCACTCATGGAGGATAGAAGTCTGTTTATTTTGAAACGATTCAGCTAATCAGTCTCCATCCTCTATCACCTTCTCTCTTCTCTAAAGTGGAGGACTCATATATAAATGAGAATTGTAGTTTAAATTGTAGCCTTTCAAAAGATATGTTGAAGTCCTAACCCTCATTACCTCAGAATGTGATCTTATTTGGAAATAGGATTATTGTAGATATAATTAGTTAGGACAAGGTCATGGTGGATTAGGGTGGGCCCTTAATGTGACTGGTGTGCTTATAAGAAGAGGAAGAAAGATACAGAGGGGACATTGTTATTGACTGAATTGTGTCACCCCCAAAATGCATATGTGGAAGCCCTAACCCCCAATGTGTTGGTATTTGGAGATGGAACCTGTGGGAGATAATTAGGTTTAGATGAGGTTATGAGGGTAGGGACCTCATGATGGGCTTAGTACCCTTATAAGAGAAAAAGACACCGCAGCTTGCTCTCTCTACCATGTGAGGATGCAGTAAGAAGTCCAAACCAGGAAGAGCGCTCTCTCTAGAGCCTGACCTTGCTGGCACTTATCTCGGACTTCCAGCCTCCAGAACTGTGAGAAAATAAATTTCTGTTGTTCAAGCCAATTTTTGGTATCTTGTTATGGCAGCACAAGCTGACTCGTACAAACACCACGTAATGACAGAAGCAGATATCGGAGTAATGCAGCTGCAAGCCAAGAAATGCCAATGATTGACAGCCATCAGCAGAACCTAGGGAAAGGAACAGAAGGATTCTACCACAGTCTCAAAGGAAGCGTGGCTCTGCTGACACCTTGATTTTGGATTCCTAGTCTCCAGAACAGTGGGAGAATAAATTTCTATTGTTTTAAACCACCTGTTTTGTTGTACTTAGTTATAGCAGTCCTCAGAAACTAGTACAGGTAATCATAAGGTTGGCGGAGGAATGCTGGAAATGGGCAGATGACTCAAGGTCTTTCTTTGCCTTCTCTCAAGTCATAAGCAGTGGCTAGAAGCCCCTGAGATCTGAAGGTTAGTCAGAAATTCAGATAAATCCATCCCCAAATTATTATATAAGGCATGGGAGGGAATTCAATTTTCCAAAGGTCAGTTTATATCTAACATTTTCAGAGTCCATCTTTTGTATAAAACAAAGTGTATCTTGGTTTTATTAGGCCAAAATTCCTGCTAGGAATTGGGTTGTGGTTTTTTCTTTCCCAAAGCATTTCATTTAACAATCTACCTGGTGAATGGGGAGCAGCTGTGAGCTATGATGCCTCCTAAGATGGGAAATATTACAGAAATGAGCAAGGACAAACTGGGGAATGGAGGAAAAAGAGTCCTTTCTATTTTTCACTTCAAATTCAGGGAGATATTTAAAGCATCGGGCATTGTAATACCTTTCAACTGCAGGACATGCATCTATTTATAATATTTTTCAGGGATCAGGAGAACGCATATAAAACCTTTGAAATTGTGTGTGAATAAACGTCTTTGTGAACATATGGCAAGGGAGTGTGATCCTGTTAAACACTTGCTGTGTTTGGCAGGAGCAAAGAGCTAGAATGCCTGCTCACTTAGTTCTTCCCACCCCCTCAGATGTGAGTCTTAGCAAGTGGGAGGATCTGGTGCATGCTTCCTGAGGTCCATGTATGAAGGACAAACTATAGCTGCAGCCACAGTTTTGTCTAGTGCCAAAGCAGTATCAGGACATAAATAGAGGATATGTTGCTCTGGGGGTGAAGCCTGGAGAATGTGTGGAGGATGCACAGTGCCCTTTTAGTCACTGAGGAAAACTGCATTGATGTGTTTATAGGGCTCTGTCAGTAGCTATGGGCTCTGTATTTCAGGCAGATGCCACATGCCCAATCCAACCTTCCTTCACACTCTCTTTGGCCTCTCTGCCCTTGATAACCAGCTTTAAAACAAGTGCAGCTTTAGGAACTGAAGTGCCTGTGGTCCAAAACCCACACCCAGAAACTGGGAAGGCTCTTAGGCACATGCTGTCTCTTTTGTACGGGATACTCCTCATATCTCTGCTGGCTCACCCTTCAAGGCTCACTTATATATCACCTTCAGGGAGGAGTCACTAATCACTATGTTCTTCTTACGGTCAGAATTTTGCACATTTGTAGTAATTCACTTAACTTTATGGATCACCATTGTTTAATACCTGTCCTCACCAGATTGTATGAGGTTCTTTTTTGTTCACTATAGTTTTCCTAGAACCTATAGAATGCCTGACCTATAGTAGGCGTTTGATAAATACTGTTGACTAATTGTAAGTTCAGTGTCTTCCTATATGAAAAATTGCTGCCTTATAGTTCATCCAAAAAGAAAGAAAAAGAAGAGGAGGGATGTGGTGAAGAAAACCTTAAAAACATTTCCACAGATTTCTCATTTTCAAAGTTCCTTCACATTAAAAAAAAGGAAGAAAGGAAAGAAGGAAAACGGTTCAGTGGAAAATGGGCAAAGGATAAAAGAAGTAATTCACAGAAGAAATTCAAATAGCCAATAAGTATACAAAAAGATGCTCATCTAGACTAGTAATCCTAGAAATGAAAATTAAGAACAATATTTTATCCCCTCAGATTGGTAAAATTGCAAAGTTTTGATACCATTCATTGCTAGCAAGGATTTAGGGAATAGGATGCTCTCATACACTGTTGGTTGTTCACAACTAGTGCAATCTGTATGAAGACCATTGGTAGTATTTTTAAAATTAAAACTCTGTCTTTATTTATTATTTAATAGGGAAAAATTGGAAACCATTTGACCTCACACAATAGGGAAATGGTTAAAAAAATTTAGTGCATTCCTGCCACAGAATCCCTTAGCTATAAATATTAACATCAATGAAAATCTATGTAAAAATTTTTTAAAAAGGAGATTGCAAAACAATACATATAATATGATCCCAACTAAGTAAAAATATATAAAAGCATATTCTCCAAAGGAAAAGATCTCAAATGATTCACACTATGTATAATTATAATAATTTTTGAAAGATTTTATTTACTTATTTGAGAGAGAGGGAGTGAGAGGACATGAGCAGGGGAAGGGCATAGAGAAAGGCAGATTCCCCGCTGAGTGGGGAGCCCAACGTGGGGCTTGATCCCAGGACCCAAGGATCATGACTTGAACCGAAGGCAGACACTTAACCCACTGAGCCACCCAGGTGCCCTTATAATTATAATAATTTAATTACAAGGTCCTTTGAGACCTTTTCCCCTGAGGAACTAAGAATGGGATTTTAATTTTTACAATGAACCTGTACTGCTATTTTTAAAAGAACTTTATTGAAGTATGATTGACATATAGTGCACATATTTAAAGTATCCATTTGTTTTGGCATTGTATACATCTGTGAAACCATCACCACAATCAAGAGAATATCCATCACCCCCAAAAGCTTACTCATGTGTCTCTGTAGTCTCTCCTTCCTGCCGCTTCCTAAACTAACCCGTCCCCTAGCAACCACTGAGCTACTTTCTGTCACTATAGACTAGTTTGAATTTTTTAGAATGCTATATAAATGTAATCACACAGTACATACTCCCTTTTTTCTGGCTTCTTTCAGCATAATTATTTTAAGATTCATCCATGTTGTTGCATGTATCAATAGTTTGTTCATTTTTATTGCTGAGTAGTATTCTATTGCAAGGATCTATACAATTGATTTATTCATTCATCTTTTGATGGGCCTTTGGACTATTTCCAGTTTTTGGCTATTACAAATAAGGGTGCTATGAACGTCCATTTACAGGTGTTTGTAAAGACATATGCTTTAATCTCCACTAGCTAGCAGTGGAATGGAATAAATTAGGTGTATGTTTAGCATTTCAAGAAATTACCAAAACATTTTCAAAGCGGTTGTACCATTTTACATTCCCACAAAGAGATGGAGTATGGGGTTGTGGCACTAAATGTGTGGTATCTTCACCAAGACGTTTGGTAATGACAGTAACCATCAGCTTACTGCGTAGTTTTAATCAGATTGCCAGGCTAAAATGCGTCTAGTCCTTTTTAATCTCAGATGCTGACCTTTGATTAAGGTCATGGTCATGGTCCATGTGGCGTATAGGACGACACACACACAAATGCCAGGTAGGACTCATCCGCGTTGGAAAAGACGATGAACAGACACTGTGACACTTGGGCGGAAAGAAGAGAGCTGGAGTTCAAACACATTGAAAAGTTACCATTGTTGGGACTTGGTTAAGAGAGGGAGAGAAGATGATGCCCAGGTTAGAATGATTAGGTGATGGTGGCGACAAGACAGGGGAGGAGTGGGTCTAGAGGGAGGAAGAAGGGGTCATTTCTGGCTTTGCTGCATGTGACGTGCCTAGGCGATACACGCTACTCGGAAAGTGGTTGTAAAGGGACTTCGTCTAGGTGGAGATAAAGATTTCCGTGAAACAACATACAGTTGTGGAAGTATCAGGAGCAGCTGTAATTACCACGTGCAGTTAATAAATTCCTATCTTCCAAAGGAATCACTTCCACACCTCACTGAAACAAGCCTAATTCGTCCGAAGGCTCTACAACCGCCCTCCCAGAAGGTGCGCGATTCCAACGATCTTTCTGACGAAACTCCGCCCCGCCCAATTTTGCGCATGCGCCGGGCGCATGCGCACCACGTTCACTGCGGCCTCTCCCTTCTCCGGGAGTCTGGGCTCCTTTCCTATCGCCTGCCCCGCCCAGGCGGCTGCCCGTGACCTGCCTGGGCGCAGGGAACGGAAAGCCGAAAGGGGCAAGACGAGTTCAGGTCGCCATGGGGCTGTTTGGGAAAACCCAGGAGAAGCCGCCCAAAGAGCTGGTAAGGGCTACGGTGATGGCAAAAGAGTCGGGGGATTTGCGTGGGGCGTAGTGGAGTTCGTAAGCGACTGGTCACTGTCCCTCCCGGCTGGCCAGGTGCCCTCGGCCCCTATTTCCGGGGTCTTCCACTCGACCGAGGGGCCAGAGGAAGAATCTCTAAGGAGGCGGCTGTGGCTAAAGAGAGTCCTGCTACGTCAGAACTCCATAGGGCGGCCGAGGGCCAGATAAAGAGTTTCTCAGCCCCGGCACTGGGCGCGGAGGTAGCAAGACGCTCTTGGCCTCTGGAAAGCCTTTCCCCTGCGCGCGTTGGTACGTCCCGCCCGGAACCTTTCCCTGGCCGACGCCCCGCCCCTAACGCCCGCCTCCGGACAATTGGCGGACCTGCCCGTACCCCGAGAGTGGTACCCTGGAAGCCCCGCCACCGCCGCCCCTTCCCCCTAACCCACTGTAGTAAGTGGGAGGGTCTGTTTCCTCTTGCCTTGTCCTACAACATTATGTTGACTGCAGACACGTTAATTATAGAAGGGACCCGACTCGTGGGAATGGTACTGAGGATAACTCAGGACCTGGCTTCGAATCATCTGGATCTACCTGTAAACTGAGATAATGGAATAATGTGTAGCGTTTGAGTGCCCTGCAGAGTCAGTCTTCCTAAGTTTGAATCCTGGTTCCCCATAGACCAAACATTGTGATCTAAGGAAAGTTCATTTCTCTGTGCCTTAGTCTTGTCAGGTAGGAATGATAATAGTTTCACTTCAGAGTCATGGAAGATGAAAGACTGTGAAGTTTTTTAGTAATGCTAAAAATTAGTAGGGTTAATTCTTTATAGATTCTACAACCTGGCCACCCAAGTGCAGACCAGCCTCGTCGGCATCACCTGGTAGCTACTTCGAAATCTGAGGCCCTACCCAAGACCTTTTTAATCATAATTTGAATTCTAACAAGATCTTCAGTGATTTGTGTGAACGCTAAAGTTTGAGAAGCATTGCTTTACAACACCCAGTACAAATTTACCCATAATGAAAAAAAAAAACCCACCTTGAAATCCTTCATTTAATAAATGATCTCACCTGTTCTGCCTTTGCAGGCATGTTTTTAAAAACCAATGTTCTACATTATGAAGTTGCTGACACATAATGTGTGTGTTAATGTTATATTTGTTAACCGTAGGTCCTAGAACACTACATCCTGTATAAATATTAGTTTCTGTAGGCAGCTTACTCAGTTTTACTCCCTGGTAGAATAAAAATTGTGGAGCTTAAATGAGGTAAGACTGTGTGACATTACTTTGTAAGCTGTAGAGCATTATATAGATGCACATTTTATGGTGTGTATGTATTCAGAGATGCTTGTTATTGTAGAAGTGTATTTTTGATGTTAGGGAAAGATTATTTTCCTTCAGTGTTTGACCTTAGCTTTGCCATTCATAAAATGAGATAAGGTTCTGGGAAAACAGTCTTATTACTATTTAAACTGATCTGTTGTATATGTGTTACTTGTGTAACACTTAGAGTAGTTTTAAATGATAAATATAATTGCTAAGAACATGATGTCAGAATACTTTTCCAGTAGGGTAACCTACCTAGGAAAGTGAATCAACACCAGAAATTTTCAGGGATAATGCATGAGATTGGTTTTTAAAATATGCCTGCCAGGGGGTGCCTGGTTGGCACAGTCAGTTTGCCATCCAGCTCTTGGTTTCGTCTCAGGTCATGATCTCATGGATCGTGAAATCAAGCCTCATGCAGGACTCTGCTCTCAGTGCAGAGTCGCCTTGGGTTTCTGTGCTTGGGTTTCTCTCTCCCTCTACTCTCTCTCTCTCTCTCATAAATAAATACATCTTTAAAAAATGTATATGCCTGGGGCGTCTGGGTGGCTCAGTCATTAAGCGTCTGCCTTTGGCTCAGGTCATGATCCCAGCGTCCTGGGATCGAGCCCTACGTCAGGCTCCCTGCTCCGTGGGAAGCCTGCTTCTCCCTCTCCCATTCCCCCTGCTTGTGTTCCCTCTCTTGCTGTGTCTCTCTCTGTCCAAAAAAAAAAAATATATATATATATATATGCATGCCTGCCAGTGGGATATCATAGAGAGGAAATAAACAGCCAAGGAATGTATCATCTAGCAAGTAAGATAAGCATTTCAAGAACAAGTCTGGATTGGGTACTATATAAACAGTTACAGGAGCTCAGAGGTTGGAGTGATCACCCCCAGGCTGGGGTGATCAGAAATGATTTGGCCCTTTACTATCATGTTTTCCACACATCTCCTTCCTGTGAATTGGTTCTTGACTGTTAAGTGGGATTTTTAGTATTATTTATTTTAATTGGTGCTGGAGATACCCTGCTCAAGATTTTCTTTAAGTTCCCTTTAATAGTACCTCACGCTAACCTTTGGGTTCTGATTATATCTCGTTCTAATTTGTCAGACAGTGTTTCTGTTTGCTTTGGGTTCAGCTTCTACCAAGTTCTCTTTATAACTTGTGATTTATGACCAAGGAAAGTGTTTTGTCACCTTCCACAATTATTTAGTATTGAGTTTGTAAATCCAGAAAGTGCAAATAAAGCAGGAATGAGAAATACCGTTTTTTCTCTGTGGAGCTGCTGACACACAGATAAAGTCTTGGGAAACATATATGAATAGGACATGTAATGTCAGGTATTTTAGTCTTAGTTTGGCATTTTTTTTAAGAGAGAGAAGGAGAAAAATTAAATGTTTAACTTTATAAAGGAAGTAAAGGAAATTAAAACCAAAGATAACATTTGCAAAGAAGAGAGGAGAGAATTGACAAAATGCCAGAGTCTCAGCTGGGCAACTGTTGAATTAGGATAACTTTATAGTATGCCTTAGTATGCCTTCCACTGGGGGCTGGAACATGAGGGCGTGTGGGTCATGGTCCCAGCATAGGTGCAAAAGGCAGGTGCAGCTGAGCCACGCCATCATGGTTGTCATTTAGGCCATCGTCACAAGTCAGTCCAGGCAAGTAAAATACATTAGGGGTGGTGTTCCCACAGCTTTCGTACAGCATGCAGCACAGAGTAGGTGCTAAATAAATGTTGAGTATGAATGAATAATGGTAAATTGAATAATGGTCAGACTAAAGTCAAATATTCCTAAAGCCAAATAGTCCTAAGATGAACAGTGTTTCAAAGGATACTCCAGGGAAACTATAGCTACTTAAGGGGCCTTACAGACTAAAGCTATTGCCCCCAGGCATTTCTGATAATTGCCGGAGACGTTTTAGTGATGAAACTTGTTCTACCTTAAAGTGCCCACGTGAAGAGTAGATTGGGCCTGCTAAGGATGAAGAAGCCTTGTAATTTACTTAGAAACCTGTAACTGTGTTGTGATGGGACTCAAGAGGACATGAGATTGTGTTGGAAAGAGATTCTTCTGTTGGATTGAGGTACTGCTGGAAAATTGTGCTGTCCTTACATGGGGATTTCGCTGATTTTAGCCTTTGGATAGGGTAGTACAGTCATGGCATCAGAATTCCTAAATCATACGACTAACATATCTTTACATCATGTCTCATGGTTGTGGGTTGCTATCAGAAAAAAAGAAAATGAGACAGGGAGATGGAGAAAAAGAGAAAGTTTCATTTACTTAGTTCATCCAATAAACATTTATTGAGATATTTTAGTGTATATTGGGTTGGACACCAGGTTTTCAAAAAATAAGACACTGGATGAGAACATCAAAGAATACCAAGTTTACTGGGGGAGTCTGGCATGTGAATAAATACTCATATTTTAGAGTAAATAAGGGCAATGATGTAAGTATATACAAGCTCTGTGATGTCACAGTGGAAGGAGTGGTTAACTGTTCAGAGTGGGAAAGAAGACCTGATCAGGTAGGGTATCTAGATCTTATCACAAGGGGCATTAGTCAGATGGGTGATGTGGTATAGGATTAGGAAAGAGGGGGCATCCCAAGCACAGTAAACGGTATGTGCAACGTGTGGAAGTGTGGAGCATAGATTGGAGGGACCAGAAAAAACTCAAACGTGGTTAGAGGATGAAATACTGTGAAATCTGAGTGGGATGCAGGCGGAAGTGATGGCAGTGTCAGATCTAAAATTGCAGAGGTAGATAGAGGTTGGATTAGCAGAGCCCAGTGTGTCATGCCCACTAAGGATGAGAGCATTCGGAAGAGTGGTTTGGAGCAAGAATTGGAGGGAAGAGAATTAGGTATGGGGGCCAGTTCGTGACCCGGCCGAGAGATGATGCTGGTCTTAGTTGTGGAAATAGGGAGATAGAATAGGATGAATTTTTGAAATATTTAGGAGATGTGGTCAGAATTTGCTGATCTGCGTGTGGAATGAGAGTGTAAAGCTGATTCTTAGGGTTGACTGGAGGTGAGGTTAAACAGAGACCTGTCATTCCCCTCGGTTTCACACCGTGAACTGAAAATGAGAGAATTCAGAACAACAGCAGCTTTGATGGGTTACTGGTGGTGGAGGGGAAGGAACCACAGAGTTCAGTTTTGGACAGAATTCAGGAGATCAAGGAAAACATTAGAGAAAAGGTTATCCTGGGAGAATATTTTTCTACTTTGTCCACTCAGCAAAATTGTAAGCTTCTTGAGAGCAAGGATCATGTTTTTCTTTATCATTCATTGAGTCAGCATAGTGTGGAACTCCCTTAGTAAGAGTAAAGGGCCTATCAGGTATTTGCTTGATGAACAAAAGTAGATGTAGTGGGAGAACAGTTACACATTTGAAGTATAAGGCTATACTTGTCCCTCTTTTGTATATCCATCTGACAGTGATCATAATAGGCACATTTTGACCTTATTTCAGTTATTTGTTCCTTTTGCTGAATTTCTAGTTTTATGTATGTTTTAAATCTTGAAGGATACACAAAATCCCAGTTTACAGAGATTACGTTTAGGGAGAAGTGCTAGGTAGCTGAGAGTCAAAAGTGGGAGGGGAACTTAGTTTTCACTATGCATATGCCTGTTGTAGTTTGCTCAGGCTGCTGTAACAAAGTACTATAGATAAGGTA